TCAAACCCATCGTTTCATCACAATTTCACCATCCAGTTAGGCAGATCAACCATAACTCCTTCAAAAAAAGCCAGAAACCTTGGAGTTATGATTGATGATCAGCTGACTTTCTCAGACCACATTGCTAAAACTGCCCAGTCCTGCAGATTTGCTTTATTCAACATCAAGAAGATCAGGCCCTTTCTTTCAGAACATGCTTCACAACTCCTCGTTCAAGCTCTTGCTTGATTAATTTTTAATGAGCCAAAAAGAATGCACGTCACACCTCCGTTTATCAATTTGCACTGGCTACCAATAGCTGCTCGCATTAAAATTCAAGGTATTAACAAAACCACCACTGGCTCTGCAGCCCTTTACCTAAATTCATTACTTCAGACTTATGTGCCCTCTAGAAGCTTGCATTCTGCAAGTGAATGTCACTTTATTGTTCATCTCAAAGAGGCACAAAATCACTTCCACAGACTTTTAAATTAAATGTTCCCTACTGGTTGAATGACCTGCCCAACTCAATCCGAGCAGCTGAGTCCTTAGCCATCTTCAAGAATCTTTATTTGACCCTCTAACTCTAGCACTCTCTATTCTAATTCTATTCTTAAAAAAAAAAAAAAACTTGTCCCTTTTAGACTTGCACTTTATTCATGTACTGCTTGTTTTCTTAAAAAAAAAAACTAACAGTAGCTTTTCAAAATTTTTGTATTCTATCTATTTGTTTTCTTTTTATTTATTTTACAATTAACAAAAGCAAAAAAGGCCTCTAACACTAGCTTGCTCTATTCTTTCTCTATTCTATCCATTTTCTTTTTATTTATTATATAATAAAAAAAACCTTGCTATGTGTACTGCATTAAGCTAACTGAGACTTGTTATAGCACTTGCATATCATTGCTCTTTTGTTGATTTTGATTGCTTCCATTGTCCTCAATTGTACGTCGCTTTGGATAAAAGCGTCTACTAAATGACTAAATGTAAATGTAAATGTAAAATCTCAGGAGGAAGTACACTAGACAAATCCAGTGAAGGATTTACTTTGAAATAATTTTCACTCAGAAATTGCAAATAAGTTTCACAAATTATTACAAAGAAATAATAAGTAACATATTGAATTTAAACATGAAATTTTGAAGTAGAAAGACTGAAATAGTATTTTCTCCAGTAATCTTTGAACATTTTTTAAGTGTAATAAAATAAAATAAAAAGTGCTTCAGGATGCTTCAAACGCTCTGACAGCTAAAGCACAACCTGACTAATCACCCAGCTAGTGAAGCGTGGTGACCGCTGGCTAGTAAAGATGAGACTCACCATGAAAACGGGCCGCAGAGAGAGGAGTTTTTCCCCAGTCCCGCCCCAGTCTGTCCAGTCCAAATACTCTCCTTCCTCCAGAATGAACTGCTGCCCCTCAAAACCCTCGCCATCGTATCCCACCCACCTGAGACGAGACGAGAGTAAAGCATCCAGCATTTTTTTTTACATGTAACTAGTAATGTAACGCATTACAAGTAACGCTAGTTACGTAATCAGATTACTTTTTTTACAAGTAACTAGTAACGTAATGCATTACAAGTAATGCTAGTTACATAATCAGATTACTTTTTTACAAGTAACTAGTAACGTTACACATTACAAGTAATGCTAGTTACATAATCAGATTACTTTTTACAAGTAGCTAGTAACGTAACGCATTACAAATAACGCTAGTTACATAATCAGATTACTTTTTTACAAGTAACTAGTAATGTTACACATTACAAGTAACGCAAGTTACATAATCAGATTACTTTTTTACAAGTAACTAGTAACGTAACGCATTACAAGTAACGCTAGTTACATAATCAGATTACCTTTTTACATGTAACTAGTAACGTAACGCATTACAAGTAACGCTAGTTACGTAATCAGATTACTTATGTACAAGTAACTAGTAACGTAACGCATTACAAGTAACGCTAGTTACGTAAACAGATAACTTTTTACAATAACTAGTAACGTAACGCATTACAAGTAATGCTAGTTACATAATCAGATTACTTTTTTACAAGTAACCAGTAACGTTACACATTACAAGTAATGCTAGTCACATAATCAGACTACCTTTTACAAGTAACTAGTAATGTAATGAATTACAAGTAATGCTAGTTACATAATTAGATTACAAACCCGATTACAAAAAAGTTGGACAAAAAAAAGTGTCCCAACTTTTTTGGAATCGGGTTTGTACTTTTTTACAAGTAACTAGTAACGTAACGCATTACAAGTAACGCTAGTTACATAATCAGATTACTTTTTACAACTAGTAACGTAACACATTACAAGTAACGCTAGTTATATAATCAGATTACTTTTTCAAGTAACCAGTAACGTAACGCATTACTTTTACATTTACAATAAAATATCTGAGATACTTTTTCAAATAAGTAATGGCAGTTGAGAAATGAATGAGAAAATGCAACGCAAAAGTAATGCATTACTTTACACAAAATGAAACTAAGTAACACAATTAGTTACTTTTTTAGGGAGTAATGCAATATTGTAATGCATTACTTTTAAAAGTAACTCTACCACTTTTCAACAGTGATTTTACCACAGTTAATGGGGGTTTTAATGTTGTAGAGTTCAGTCAACCAACCGCGATTTTCTTATTCAGTATTTTTGTCTTGTTTTCCAGTGCAAATATCTACAACATCCTTAAAGGGGTGATTAATTGAAGAATCAAACTGTTCTTGATATTTACACATATGAGAGGTTACTCCGAAATAAAAACACTGCAAGTTTCAGAGCTCAGAACTAACGCCCCCGTTTAAAATATGAATTATTCTTTTCTACTCTTCTGAATCATCCAGATTTGAAACTGACGTCATGATTTTCCTCGACACGCCCCTTAACGTGCATCATCGACATATGTAATCAAGGAGGTGTGTCTGAACAACTCACGTCTGTCCATCAATCACACGAGCCATTCTGCTGTTAGCTAAAGAAATTAGTTCATCTTGGTGGCTGTTATAGTAAAAATGCAGATACTCATTTCATATGCACAGATGTTAACCAATCACAGCAGTGGGTGTTTCTATTGAAGTCTCACAGTAGACACGCCCTTTTAAACAGAGTGCTCAAATCAGAGTAGAAAATTACTGTTTATATCTAAATTATGACCATTTTTGATGAAGAAACCACACTAAGATCATAAGTGCACCTCAGGAAATATAAAATCATTTTAAAAAGGCACCTCATGACCCCTTTAAATTAAGAAACTTTTACTTGAGAAGCAAAATTACTTTTGTTTTCTTAAAAAGTGATCAAAATGAAGTGAGTTTATGCTTAAAACAAGAATGAATATCTGCCAATGGCTGAATTTATTTTTCTATCACTTCATTTTGATCACTTTTTAAGACTTAACATGTCCAATCATTTTGCTTGATAAATAATGTTTGTTGATTTAAGAATGTTTAAATGTTTGCAATGGAAAACAAGACAGAAATACTGAGGAAAAACCTCAGAGTTCGGGACTCACAGGCCTCCGAGGATCTTGAGTGATTCCACACAGTTCAGTCCGTGATTGTCCGGGTCGCTCGGGTCCGTTTCTGTCCTGGCGAAGGAGAAGACGTCTCCCTGAACCTCCACGCATCGGCCCTCCAGACCGGCCTTTTCATACAACACGGCCTGAGAGAGACAGAGCGATGAAGAAAATCATACTCTTCCTCAGCGTTTATGTCCTGTTTTCCAGTACAAATATCTAATCACTCTTAAATCAAGAAATGAAGTCTTCTGAAAAATGTATCAAAATTAAGTAAGTTTAAGCGCAAAACAAGAACAAATATTGGTCAATGGAGTCAGAAAAATAATATTAATTTAAAGGGAAACAACCTTATTTCTCTTCATTAGGAAGCAATTTTTCTTGCTTTAAGCGTAAAGTCACTTAATTTTGATACATTTTTCAGAAAACAAGACTTGTATATTTTATTATATATTATATAATATATTCATTTTACATTATTATATAACATTTTCAATATAATACAAGATAATATATGTACATATATAACATAATATACATAATACGCATTGTTTGTTGTGCTTGATTATCTAGTTATTATATATACAATATAATATACATTTTAGTGTATAATAAAAATTAAAAATTTTTAAAATTTGTCATTTGTATTACATATATTATATCATTTTGTGGTTGTTTATCCGGTTGTTTGTAGTTTTTGGGGAAAAATGAATGGAAAAAAATGAATTAACATTTATTTAAAAAAATTAATATTATATTAAAAGAATTTAACTCTGAAATTGCTAGTAAATTTCACAAATAATTACAAAGAAACAGCATGTAACTCATTGAATTAAACATGAAATTTTGAAGTAGAAAGACTGAAACTGTATTTCCTTGTAAAACATACTCCAATAATCTAAATTTTACTATGAAAAATGATTTTTACAGTGTACTTGAATCAAGAAACAAATATCTGCCATTGGAGTTAGAAAAATAAACGTGTTTTCCCTTTGAATTCAGTAGATTTTCCTGACTCCACTGGCAGATATTTGTTCTTGTTTTAAGCATAAACACGTAAATTTAATGCATTCATATATTCATATATTCAGTTATGGTGCATCTGCAGTAAATGTATGATGATTTAAGAACGTTTTAATATTTCTACTGGAAAACAGGACAGAAAATACTGAGGAAGAACATATTTTTTTTCTAGTAACGACACTGAAACTCACAAACCTTGATGGTGTTTGGCTTCTCGACCTTCAGAGCGCCCTGGAAAACAAGCAGAGTTCTGGTGACACACTGCGTGACGACTGCAGATGGGTGAATAACGTTATGCTGTGAGCCGTACCATTCGCAGAGGCCTCAGAGAGCCGACCGCAGGCGATGGGAAACCCCAGTCCTCCGGGAACGGATACTCTCCGGCCTCCAGAACCGCCAGCAGACCCTGGAAACCCGGATCACTGTAAACCAGCCAGCTGTGGAGCAGAGAGCTCAGTTGTCAATCATCAGTCACCTGATCATAACAGATCACTCATCTCATCTACCAGTCCCTCGGCTATTACTCAAGTCAGGTGACTTGAAGTGACTTCACTAGTTTTTGGCGGTATTAGTTAACACCTCACTGACCAAAATCGGTCTAACCCTAACCCTAACCCTAACCCTAACCCTAGCCCTAGCCCTAACGATCGGGGAAGCAATGTTAAAAACATTAATGTTTGATTGTTTTTTTAAATATGAAATGTAGGTTTTGTTTAATGGACATTTTCATTCTCTGTTACTTGTTAAAAATGTTAATGTTTGCTTTTTTCCCCTGAGGTTTTTACACTCACATAATCATGAAAACATGAAAAGTTTCCAATTTAGTTTTAAAGACCATTTCACACACTCGCTGAAATGTTACAAATATTAAAGTTGGCTTGTTTTCCCGACGTTGTTCCACTTGCATAAACATAAAATTTATGAAAACTTAAAAAAAACATGTACAATTTTGTTTTTATAACCATTTTCCACACTCTCTGATGTTAAAAATGTTAATGTTTGCTTGTTTTTTATGAGCTACTTACACTTCATACTTATAAAACCATAAGGTTTATGAAAACTGTTTTAATAAATGTAAAATTTAGTTTTTTTGAGGAACATTTTCCACTCGTTAAACTGTTCATGTTTGCTTGTTTTCCGCTTACATAATCACAAAGTTTATAAAAACAAATTTTTATATATATACTAGTTAACATTTGAAGTGGATCAAAACCTTTTATCAAAGTTGTCCCAAAATGCGTTCTTGTCTTAGGACAACTTTAATATATACTGTATATATATATATTTCGCATGTTATTGTTTGGTTATTATAGTGAGGTTTTTACACCTGAAGTGTAAAACAAACTAAAACAATAAAAATAAACGTTAAAAATAATAATGTTTGCTTGTTTTGCTGAGGTGTTTCCACTTGCATAATCATAAAGTTTATGAAAACTTTAAAAACATTTTGGGGACCATTTTCCACTCTCTCTGACATGTTTAAAAATATGAATGATTGCTTGTTTTCCTTGGAAAACTTAACAAAAATAAAGATAAAAAAATTAATAAATAAAATAAACAATAAATAAATATATTTAAAAAAAAATAAAAAATTTTAGTTTTTATGACAATTTTCCACTCTCCGACATGTTAAAAATTTTCATGTGTCAGTTTTTTTCACTTGCATAAAAGGTTTATGAAACCTTAAAAAAATAGTTTTCATGACCATTTTCCAACAGTTCATCTGGTTTTCTTTGCATATGAAATGAGTAACAGCTCACATGAGCCGCATGTTTTCTGTTGTGCTCAGTAGTTTTTATCTGCTTCATCTTTCAACAGAATCTACAGACTGACTACACAAACAAACACAACTGACTTTTTTTCCATTAAATGGTATTTTGGTTTAAAATAAACAAATATGAATATGCTGTACTGTGAATATTATAGGTTGTTGTTGTTATGTTCTGCTGGTTCACCTGGACATACGCTGCTGTAAATCATTCACCTCCACCCTCCTCAACAATCTGTGATTTTCTCTTTCTATTCCTGCTCACATTCCTGCCATAGCTTTCATCAGTCGTTCAGCTCTTTTCCTGATTATTCTTGTCTTTCCTCTGAGTTTTTGTCACCCTCACTGTCCTGTTCTGCTTTCTCTGTTTATCATGCACACACACAAGACTAGTGTTTAAAATGAAAACAAGTATCGTGTCACTCTGTGTGACTGAAGTGACTGTATCTGCCACTTTAATAATTATTAGCATGCTATTTTCCCCTTTCCGTCTGTTATAAACACTACTGAGAGCATCAGAATGAGTTTTTGTGCTATAGTTTGAGTGCTGGATTATGTGGCTCTGATATTGTTTATATGGTTCAGCGTGACTAATGCTGTGACTCAAACGCTCTCATAAAGCATAACATACTCATGAATCATCAGTAATCCAGTCATTATGTTCTCACAACACTGGCCATGTACTGTACATACTGCATCTAAATTTGGTAGTCAGTTCACCTTTCAGTACTTAACTCTGCTCTGTATGTACACAGTTCAGTAATTTAAGGTGGCCAGATAATTTAAGAGCGACGACCGCATTCCACAACCGAACTGACTTCCAAAAAAATCAGGTAGTGGCAACCGCATTTACAGTGTGTACAGAACTGAACAACTAGTTAATGACATATTTAAAAGCGTAATGTAAGAAATCACAGGGAAGGAGGCATGTCTTGACCCAGGGTTGCCAGATATTGCTATAAAAAATGGCAAATAAGAACAAGGCCATAATGAACTTAAATCTTAAAGCATTACCTTGGAAATAAGCCAATTTTAGCTCAAAGATGCTTAACAAGCATCGCTTATAATAAGTGGACATGGCAACCCTTTAATAGCGCCATCTGCGAAGCAGCTTTCTAAACATGAACAAAATATGACAGCTCTTCCAACGGTGGTTTCGTTAAAATCTTTGTTCACCTTGATATTACTTTGGTCAAAAATAGCGCAGACAGAACGAGTCCACTAGGTGGCACTGCGCATATGTCGAACTCGTCCGTTCGTGCTCGTCCGTTCGTGCTCGTCCGTGATTGAGTAGACTTTGAAAGCTGTGCGCGAGACAGAGCAGAACGCGGAAAAGGTAGTATACCCAGGCCCCTTACAAAAAAGTTTATTCATTAGTATACTTCTTTTAAAGGGGTCATATGATGCGATTTCAAGTTTTCCTTTCTCTTTGGAGTGTTACAAGCTGTTCGTGAATAGATAAGATCCCTGAAGTTGCTCAAGTCTAAAGACTAAAGTCTCAAAACCAAAGAGATATTCTTTATCAAAGTTAAGACTCTGCCACGCACCCCTAAAACGGCTCGTTCTAACACGCCCCCACATATCTACCTCACTATGTGGGAAGA